TTTCATTTGGATACCTTGGTAGACTTGATGATACTTTCCATCTAATAGATTTTATTCAAAAATAAGAACTTTTAGAAACACAAGGTCAGTAACCACAAAGCATACATTCTAGTCTCAGAAAGTAGATAATTAGCCATCTTAGCTTTGTAAGATTTCTTTTCTCCTTTTTAAAGGCTTTATAAAACTACCCAGGTCCCACAGGGTCAAGCAGATTCTAATTGTGCTACTCCACAGATGTACCGTAGGTGAAAGCCGCCGCCTCCCCCCGCAGCCCATCTGCTGTCCCGCACTCCTGTCTAAAGGCGGTCTAAAGGGTCTAAAGGCCCACTACAGACATGATTGTAGAAACTCTCTGGCTCCCCCTTGTCCCTCAGGTTTCCCTTGCCCTGGCATATTAAAAATAGGGCTAGGTAACATTAGCATTTCAGTTTGATAGGCTCTTCCTTTATGACCCATCACTATCAGGACCCAGGGCTGGTATGTTTAGCTAGGAAGAGGTCAACTTGAAGGAACCAAGAATCAGGCCGCTGGTCTGTAAATCTGCCTCTGCCATATTTCTCCTTTCTCCCAGAGGGATCTGACTTTTGTGAGGTCTGGTCTGCTCACAGGGTGTGTTCCCCTCTCTGGGATCCCTCCTTGAGGACAATGAGTCTTGTGTCCTCTTGTTAGCTCAAGTCTTCTATTTGTGCCCCTTGGAAGAGGCACTTTCTAAGAGCTAAAAAAAAGTGCCTCATGTGAGTTTCACCTCTCCACAAAGAGTGGGCATTTTAGCCAAAGGCAACAAGAAACACAACACACATGCTTGCTCTCTCTCTCTCTGAGGGGGAAAAAAAAATGGTACAAAAGCAAAGGAGAAAAATGATAAGGAGATTCTGAAGCAAGTTGCTGCCTCAGAAGCATCTGGACCCCTGATAAAGTGGTTTATATAGTTCTCCTTAGAGTAGATAGTTCTCTCTCATCCACTTCTCTTAGCCTTGGATGTACCCAATTATATAAAAAGAAGGTATATTCAAATTCTAAAGGAAGGTGGAGAACAGGGTTTCTCTTGAGTTTGGTTGCTCCACCTTAATAATCCAACAACTTTTTGGTTTCAGGGTAACCATCACCAGATTGAAAATGTCATGCTGTAGAGGTATCAGCGTTGCTCAGTCGGTTGAGTGTCCTACTCTTGATTTTGGCTCAGATCCTGATCTCTTGGTCGTAGGATTGAGCCCTGTGTCGGGCTCTGCGCTCAGCACGGAGTCTGCTTGTCTCTCTCACTCTGCTGCTCCCCCACTTGTGCTCTCTCCTCCCTCTCTCTCTAATAAATAAGTAAAAATGTTTTTAAAAGGCAATAAAAAAAAAGAAAATGTCATGCTGTAATAGAATAAAGACCAGGGCATTTGACAGAAAACTCCAGAATCCTCTGAGTGGAAAAAAAAAAAAAACAGTCTGAGCCTAGGAAAGTCTTTGTGTAATCCCTGGGCAGTGGTTCTCATTTTTGCCTCTCCTGCCCTGGAGACATTTGACAATGTCTGGAGACATTTTTGGCAGTCAGAATTGGGGGGATATTATGGGCATCTAGTGGGGAGAGGCTAGGGATGCTGCTAATTTTACAATGTACAGGGCAGCTCCCCAGTGAGAATAATCCAGCCCAAAATGTCAGTAGCACCAAGGTTGAGAAACCCTGAGCTAGGGCTAAATCGTAGTTGACTACTTAAGTCTGTACTTCTTTTTTTTTTTTTCCCCAGCATTTTATTTATTATTTTAAAAATTTTTTTATTTAAATTCAATTTAGTTAACATATAGTATATTATTAGTTTCAGGGGTAGAATCTAGTGATTCATCAGTTGCATATAACACCCAGTGCTCATTACATCAGATGCCCTCCTTAATGCATCATCTAATTACCCCATCACCCACCCACCTCCTCTCCAGCAACCCTCAGTTTATTTCCTAGAGTGAAGAATCTCTTATGGTTTGCCTCCTTCTCTGTTTTTATCTTATTTTATTTTTCCTTCCCTTCCCCTATGTTCATCTGTTTTGTTTCTTAAATTCCACATATGAGTGCAATCATATGGTGTTTGTCTTTCTCTGACTGACTTCTTTCTCATAGCAAAATCCTCTCTAGCTTCATCCACATCGTTGCAAATGTCAAGATTTCATTCTTTTTGATGGCTACAGGACAGACTACTACCTCTTAAGGATAGAAACCAAGTTCTTCTTTCCTTTTCTAAGCACAGTTGAGGAAAAAGCATGGTCAAGCTAAATGATTCAGTCCCAATTGTTCCAATTTGGCTAAACCTCAGAGCCTAATCTCAAAGTCCTTGCACTTTCTCTCCTGGACGATTTCCTTTACATTACTTTTCTCCTGGAAAAATACTCCCAACTCCATAGTTCCTGTTAACTTCCAGAGAAGACCCTGAATCAATCATACCCTAATTACGAGCATGCCTCAGTGGAAGAGTGCATAAATACGTGAGTCCGAAGTGCTCAAGGTTCACACTGACAAACGGGCTCACCGCATAAACCTGAAATGGCATGTTACAGTCTGAGGCCCGTCCAAGCGGGTGTGAGAGGGCCCTCGTGAATGCAGGTGCCCCTGAGGGGTGAGGTTTGGAGCTTCACTCCTTTGGGGCTGCCCTCCCCATTGCTCCTTGGGAAACCGCCCTTGTTAGCTGCCTGTGTCTTTGAGAAGCGAGCAGGAGGGGACAATTCTGGCCAAGTGTCTATAATCAGCCTCCAAATGAACAGGTTTGCCTTGGACTGCCATGGTGTCTCACTCCAAGGGGAGAGCTGGGCCCAGCCTGGCCTCCTCGGAACAGCAGTTCGGGGTGAACCACGCAGGAAAGGCAGTGGCAAACCTGCATTTGGGCTTTGATCCTGATGTCCTAAGCTTGGAGCTAGTCTCCAGGCTTCTGCTGAGGGGCCCCTCAAGCTCCCCAGCTAGACTAGGAGAGTCTATTGAAGTGCTCTGCTGCAGGCCCAACTACACTGCCCATTCCATGAGTGCCAACTTAGAGCTGAGCCAGTCTAAGAAGATGGCTAATTATTCCCAATGCCACAGTCCACTGTTACAAGTGGAGGTTACTTTTGGATGTCAGACTCAAGTTCCTGCATGGTTTCTTCTGATCCTCTGTAACTGTCCTCAAACACTGTCCCTGCAATGTAAAGTGAGGACGGGCAGTCGTTAGTGTCCGCTTAGAATCATATAAAGTGTTAGCACTGAAAGGATGTTAGCTCACCTAGCCCAACCTGTTATTTTATGGCTGAAGAAACCAAGGCCAAAGAAGGGACATGATTTGCTTACATCAGACAGCCAGGAGGAAACAAACTGAGGCCTTGAGCCTAGGTCTTCTGACTATACGGGGAGTATTTATCACAGTATCCCCTGTGACTTGTATAGACCAGCCCAGAGAAGAGATCTGATTACTATCTTTGAATCACAAACAAAATTCTGCCTTATCTATGTGGGCCCAGTCCTTTATCTCCAGGTAGAGTTTTTATGTTTTTTTATTTTATTGAAGAGTTGAAGTATTTTCCATTTAACCCTTGACTACTACATACTCCATTTTGAAGAACAGGAAAAGATAAATTTATATCCAAAAGAGATCACAAAGGGATAATTCTGTACATTTGAGGCATTTCCTAGAAAAGAAGTTGACAGTCATCATCATATATATTCTCAATTTTTAGGAAGGATCATTGTTCACAGATTGGGTTTTCCAGACCAGGAAACTGAGGAAAAGAGAGAAATTACCTTAACCAGTGGTATCTGGAGAGGTGAGCACAAAAGGTAAATTCTTGGGCAGTTCTTGATTCCGTAACTGACAGAAGAACCTAATTCTGACCCATACGTATGGGTCTGTTCAGAAGGGCATGTTTCTAAAGCTTGCTAGCAAGGGCCTTGAAATACAGTCTTCCTATGTTTAACTAAGCTTAGTCAGTGGTAGTTATAATCTCACACAATAAGAAAAGAACAACAACAACAAAGGTACACCAGGTGAGACCAGGAGAGCTGATTCTCAGATAGGTGGGTCAATGGGGTCATCTTTGGATACGATCACCTGGCCTAGTTCAGTCACAAGTGATATAAGGGGATAAAGTAGAACTTTCACAGACCTACCCCTGCTTCTGGCCACTTGCCATTCCCTTATCGAGAGCGGGTCAAGAATCTACAGTGAGAAAGTGAACTTGGAGGTTCGAAGAAGGGTGTGGGCCACAAGAGGGCTCCCTTACCTGTTTCCCTGAACCCCTGGCTTCCAACAGTATCGACATAGGTATTGAACAAATAAAGATGTTCAATGTCCTTCTGGGGAGTTATGGTTACAGATTTAAAAGGAAGAACTGAGCTTTCATAGCATTAAGACTAAACCAAACTTCACGCTTCATTCAGTATAGTTCCTGCGTGCCCATGCTTAAGGAGATGAGACAAAAGAGCAGTGAATGCAGATGCTTTCTTGCCTGATGGTTCCTGCCATATTAGACCATGAGCTGCTGTGGCTACAAATGTGGATTATGCCCACTCTCTGAAGCCTTACGAAGCACCTTCCCTGCACATTGCTGATGCTGGCAGTGCTATGAATCACCTGGCAAGGCTGAAGATGGGCCTTGATGCCAAGAAAGCCTAGGGTAAGAAGTTAGAGTTTGATCTCATGAGAACAGTCCTATCATGTGTCTTAGGAGAAGGGTAGTTCTCCAGAGCAGAGAGGTCCCCCAGAGCATCCTCTCTTCCCCATCTGTGGGAGACTCCCAGATTTAATGAAGGCTCTGGTCCAGGCGCCTAGAGGCCCTGGTTAGTGTTTCCCTGCAAAGGCTCAGGGAAGTCAAGAGCTGTGAAGGGTAACCTCAGTAAACCCACACACAGTATCTTCTTAGACACCCTGGTTCCCTTGGCAGCCAGAGTGCTCCTAACCCACCTCCTAAGGGCATCAGTGACAAAGCCCAAGGGCAGGGCACCCAACTTCACATTCAGTGGGTGTCTTGGCACCACACTCCCCCCACACACCGAATCTTCTCACCTTGCCGGAAAGAGATGTACACCTGCCTCTCCTCAAACTCCTGGACCTGCCGGAAGTTGTTGACCATTTCTCTGGGGGATGGGTCATCCACGTATGTGTAGTACAGAGCAGTCTCCAAAGCCAGCAGCTGCAAGGGGAGCAGCAGAAACACCCCATGGGCAGAGTGATGCTCTCTTGCCTGACCTCACTGGGAAAGAGACCTCTGGGGCGTGGCAGGAGGCACATCAGGAAGCCGTGGGAAAGCCAGAGAACTGCTCCCCTCCCCTGCTGGTGTCTGGTCGACTGGGCACCGGGTGAGCTGGTCTGTCCCCTCCTCCCAAGGCTTGGAGGGAAGTTAGTGCTCTTAGCTGCTGGGTGGCGGAGGGACTCCTCAGCCTCTCACGGACATGGCATTCCTCTCATGGGCCCGATTTGGAACCCAGCTCTAAGTTAGAGGGGCCTTAGGCTTATTCTGATGGTCTCATCAAAAGGAACAAAAAGGAGGAGGCAAGAGTTTCACAGGTCCTCTGACAACTGGTTCCACAGAATTTTCATATACCCACATAGATTATATAATCGGTTTCCAAGGTGGTTTCTAGGTTAGGGTATTACTGCTTCCCCGCACATTTCATCTCTTGATTCATCACTTCTTTATTCCTGTCCGCCTACCTGCTGCCATTTATCTACATTACTCAGATCAGTAGCTCATAGTAAAAAGAAGGAGCAACAGTGAGGGCCTTCCTGGATGTGGGAAAAGGGGCCAGGGGCAGGGTGGGCCCAGAGCCCGTGTGTGGCACTGACCCGGCCATGTCTCCTGGACAGCCAGTTTTCTTCTTGATGAATTTCTGGGGAGCAGAGGGATGGGCAGTGACCAGGAACTCCAGTGTGACTTTGGGGCTTAGCTTTGTGGCCAACCAGTGGGCAATCCCACAAGCTCCCTCATCCATCTACCCCTCACTTTCATCACCTATAAGATGCGAGGGTCAGAGATGACTGCTGAGGATTCTGTGCCCCCAGTTTTGCACTAGACCATGAGCTTCTTGAGGGCAGAGACCGCCGCTTACTCACTGCTGCAATCCCAGCCCTCTGGTTTGTTACACTATCTAAATGCTCCGTCTTTATTCCGCCCTGTAAAGGAACCGTGCTCTCTCCCGCCACAGAGGAAACACCATCCAGCCACTGAGGGAAGTATTAGGAAATGCAGCTTAACAACTTGTTTGTAAGGAACTGTGGAGACAGGTTCCTTTTCTTAGCTTGACTCGGTAACTCCACTTTTGAAGCTCAGCCTATAATTTCTGCCGTGCTTCCAGGCACCTGCGATATTTGAAGAGGTTTGGCTTAGCTGTCAATGAAACTCTAAGTGAGGAAACCAAGTTGGTGATTACGAGCTGGGTGACGGCAGGGACCAAGGTGCCACGTGGTCTCTGACTCAGGAGGGCACAACAGTTACCTGCTCCTGGGAAATTTGCACAGGGTTCCGGAAAACCGTCCAGAGCACGGTGGGGTGGCAAGGAGGTGTGGTCAGGGACCCTTTGTAGCGATAGTACTCATCAGGCCTCTCAGGAAGCAGCTCTTCAATGCTGAAACCTGGAATGAGCACTTCTTGGCCTGGAGAGACATGGTGGAGAAATGGTGTCAGGCTTTCTCCCCATGGCAGAGGTGCTGCTGGGCCTATGACTGAGCCTAGAATATGAAACTGCCCCCTGCATTCATTTTTCTTCAGGTCACATGGAAGTGACTACCTCCTTCTCCAACAGAGGGCGAATATGCATCCAAGGACCCCTTACCTTTGTATCTTACATCTTGAAGGTGCCTGAAGATCTTGTCATAAGATGGATTGAAGGAGCCCATCTGCAACAGAGACGGGGCAGGTTGAACTGGGACAGAATTCTGCCGGCTGAGCCTTGTTCGACCTTTGCTCACGAAAGGGCTCATCTAGGGGTACATAGTTGCCATTGCCAAGATCCTCCCTGGAGGATGCACTTTACCAGGACAATTGTGAAAGACCCCTGGGCTGTTAGGGATTTGGGGTGATGGTCCTGTCCTCTTGCATCTCAGGATGCAAGGTGCTGAGCAATCAAGGCACTGGGGCCTGCATGTCCCAGGGCAAGGAATATAGCTTGTGCTCCTGATTATCAGGCTGTGAGCCTGAAGGCCACAGCTAGCGTGTTCTTTAACCAGAACTTAAGGGAGCTTGAGTTCACGCAAGCCAAGTCAGGCAAGTAAGCATGTTGAGAAACGAGGTACATGTTGTCTTATTAGGGAAAAACATGCAAGCAAATGAGGAAACATTCCCATTTTCTGGGGTTAAGGAAAGGATGGAACTTGGATATCAGGAGTTGTGTAAGGGATTCAGGCACCTGCTGAGGCAGCACTGAATGATCCCCATCCCCCAACTCCCTATAGATACGTCCTATCCAGCTGGGCTATTCTGAGCTTTACGCATAGGGCTCATAAAGCTATTCTGAGCCTTATGCAACTAGGGCTCATTTTCTCCAATGTTCCAAAGGACATGCCCATTTCTGCTACCCAGCTAAGTGCTGCCTCCAGGCCGAAAGCGAAGGTACCCTATGGGGGAATACCTCAATCTCTAGAGGCAAGATACAGCCACGATGAGAGTGAGCCCCACAACATCCAACCGACAGGTACTCATGGACCAAATGCCGAGTCTGGTACCATCCTGCCTCCAATTTTTTAAAATCCCTCTAACCATCTCTTACCTCCATGAGAACAGCTAGGACAGCGAGGCCCTCTGACTTGTTACTGGCAGTGCTGCTGTTGGGGTACAGGTCCGAGTTATAGTGGACGATATGCAGCTGCGGTGGAAGAGAAGCTGCTCACAGGACACGGACGACTCCTGGGAACCCTTGGCTCTCGCAGGGGACTCAAAACCAGTGGGGAGGACACAACCCCCCTATCCCTCCCCCGGGTAGATTAGGCCCCTCAGACCCTTTCCTTCATGGCCTCCCCAGTTTTCCCTTTTCCCTCATTGCTCCAGACCGAAAACTCGACCAGGGCACACTGTCCATCTTACTCACTCATTGTATTCGTGTCTGATAGGGTGCTTGGAAAGAACCAGGTATACAATAGATAGTGAATGAAGGAATGAATGGATGGGTTTTTATACTAGCCACAAAAAAAGCTTGGGTACTTTGGAGCACTTTTCTCTTCTGATTTCTTTCTTCTTTCTTTCTTTCTTCTTTCTTCCTCTCTCTCTCTCTCTCCCCCTTCCTTCCTTCCTTTGTTTCTTTTCTCTCTCTCTCTTTTTTTTTAGAGCCGGAGAAAGATGGGAGGGGGCGGCAAAGGGAGACGGAAAGAGAGAATCTTTTTTTTTTAAAGATTTTATTTATTTATTTGACAGAGAGCGAGACAGCGAGAGAGGGAACACAAGCAGGGGGAGTGGGAGAGGGAGAAGCAGGCTTCCCTCTGAGCAGGGAGCCTGATGAGAGGCTCGACCCCAGGACCCTGGGATCATGACCTGAGCTGAAGGCAGACGCCTAACGACTGAGCCACCCAGGCGCCCCTTATTTATTTATTTTTTTTAAAGAGGGAGAGAGTGGGGGGAGGGGCAAAGGGAGAGGGTGAGGGAAAGAGAGAATCTTAAGCAGGCTCCATGCCCAGCGCAGAGCCAGATGCAAGGCTCAATCTCACGACCCTGAGGTCATGACCTGAGCCGAAATCAAGAGTCAGACTTCAACTGACTGAGCCACCCAGGCGCCCTGCTCTGATTTTGTCTACTTATTCTGGAGCCTAGGGGAAAATGGCCTCATTGTAGCTTGTCCAGCCTCAGCTGGGCCACTCTGCCTTTGAAATGAAGTAGTAGGGGCTGAGGCAGGAAACCTCCAGTGGTAACTTAATTGCAACTGTATCCACAGTAGGACACATATTTATCCCTCAGGTGGGAAAAAATTACAGCATGGCTCTTGTACAGATTTAATCAGCCATATTTTAAGATAACAGAAAACAAGAATGTTACTCCCTGAATGTAGATTCTTACCTTTACAAAATAAAATTCTAAGCTCATTTTTTTTCAAAGCAGGAATTACTTGTCATTATTAAAGTGAAGAAAAGAGAACTTGCTGAGAAATCTTGGATTTAAAAAGTCTAAGTATTAAGACATTGTTATGACAAATCAAATTCTGACAATGTTTAACCTAATTTTTAATCCAAAAGATGGTATCACCTGTCCTCCAAAAAATATTAGTAGATAGGTCTATATACATGATACACATTTTTGTTGATTCTTTTCCTCTTGGGACTATAACACATTGAGATTTTCTCTCTTCCTTTTCTTCATCTCTTTTTCTGTCTTACGTGGTTGTAAATAGAATTCAAGCATATTTTACTGAATACAGCTCAATGTTCCTCACATTTCAAGTGACCCTTTCTAATTTTTAAAAACTATACAAAATTATTTCTTCTTTTAAGTAGTCATCTATTAAAGATTTCTTAGGAGTTCCCATTTCACCATCTTTCCGTGTGAAGGATATAGCCTGTTGCGTTGCCTTATACCGTGTTAGCTTGGCCCAGCTTTGAGAAATGGAGACTTCTTTATGGTAAAACCCCTGAAGGTCCTAGATCCTTAGTTCTTATTATACCTGCCCTTTGAGCTCGTGGTCTGTTGCACCACTTTTCTTACTGTGTTCAGATTAAATCAAGAGGAGGTGAAGACTAATACAGACAGAGGAGAATTCCCTGCTGAGTTTAAGAGAGCCTTCTTTATAGGACTCAATCCAGAAGAACTGCTACACTTTCAAGGACCCTCCATAGAGAATCTGCCACTTTTGGGCCACCTTGATATATTTTCACTATTATAGACATGTACGCTCCATCTTCACCAGGCCCTTGGTGACGATGTGGCTTAAGAGCAGAAAACAGAATAACTAGAAATATTTTTAAATGCTCAAACTCTCCCAGCCTACACCCTAGCTCCTTCTTTATTCCCCCTGGGTAAGTAGAAGCCTCCACATTGCAATTAGCCTGAGAGAAATTGCAGTCCTGGAGGTTCAGAGATGGGCCTGGTTTGAAGTACGTGCACCTCCAAGAGTGCCATCCTATTGGGCCAGAATTATAGCCCCTCCACACTTGTAGCTTGACCTGTAATTAGCCTGAGACATTAAGCAGTTTAGCAGTTAAGAAGAGAGGAGAATGGTCATGTCATTATTTACCTGGCTGATCAGTAGCATTTATCTCCTTGTATTTATTGCCCTGTAAATGTTCAGAACCACACCCCCAAGTTCTATCCCATGGGAGCTCTGAAATGGAGCAACTCGAGCACCCCCATGTCCCCCCCGCACACCTGTGGGGCAGGCACAATGCTTCACTCCTCCTGGTTTCTTGTGGCCTTTTCGGTTAGTGCCTCAGAGCGACATAACACAGTGCTGTGCTGACATCCCAAACTGTCCTCATCGAGTCTCTCACTGCCCTGATGTCCTGTGTATTGTAATGCCAGTCATCCCTCGGCTTGTGGCCAAGTAGAAGAGTAACCCTGGGTCCCAAGGTTCCAAGCATGTGAAGAAAGACTGAGAAGTTTGGGGGAGTAATTAGCCCAGTATGAGTCAGCAGTGGGATACGCACAAAATATTACATAGAGTGGGCTTCCTGAAGCACATTCTCAGATCCTCAGATCCCAACTCAAGTCTAGGGTAAGAAGCTGCCCCAGTTGATGATATCTTGAGATCTCTAAGCTCTATAACACTGATCAAACCCTTATAACCAGGGTCATCCACTGTTTTTTCATTGACTGCTGTACCTCACACTTCTAATAGGTTTTGGCCTTTGGCCATAGGTGGCTCCGTTGTATTGGGGTACATAGATGCCGTAGTCAAGATGTTATTATGTGCCGGGGATGACCTGTGTCGGCCAGACAAGCTGGTGCGATCTTGATCTGTGCAAGCGGAGAGGCGATGTCTAGAAAAGCAGCATGTGCATCCCTCTGGGCGCCCCCCCCCCCCCCACCGCCCCGGGAGCATTGCCTTCTGAGCAGCATCGTTCAGTAAACGACAGAGAGACAAACTCTGCATGTTCAGGAGAAGAAGGGGACCAGGACACCACAGATGAGCTGCAGGTGGCTGGCGTGGCTCTACCTTGCTGTGCTGCCGACAGCACCAGGGATGGGGGTGGGGAGCCTGAAGGCAGCCCTTGCTCGTGCCCCGATCTTATTTGTCCGCCAGCCAGGTGGAAGGGTGCCAGACCACCCACCGCCAGGCAGCCTCTGCCAGCCCTGCGGCCCCACTCACCTCGGCGGCAAAGTGCTTCCCTCCGACAGTGTGCTCGGAGCCGTGCGGGTCATTCTGGTTCCCCCAGTGCAGGTGCAGCTGTGTGGCCGTGTAGCAGGACCCGAGGCCCTGGAGGTGCATGTCCGGGGTCAGGTTCAGCCTCACTGTGGGGAGTGGAGCCTTCAGAGCCCTGGCCCACTGAGCACTGCCTGAGAGCAGTTAGGGAGGCAACACCTGCCCGGGCCCAGACAGGAGGCAGGTGGATACAGCGAGCGGAGAGACACGGGCTGAGGGTCAGAAACCTGGGCTCTTCTGAGAACGGCCCCATTTCCCTAAAGCAATTCTAGCAGCACCAGCACCTTCTCGGCTCCCCTGGGAAAAGGACGGCAGGAGCACGAATACTAGACCACCGGGTGGTTGTTTGGTTTACATCCCCATGTATTACACACCCAGCTAGGAAGATAAAACTGTTAATGAAGTATCTGCCAAGCTGTAGAATAATATAACAATAACAATAAAAATTACTATTTATGGAAGCATCTACTATATTACAGATCCTAACATATGTAATCTCTAGTCTTCACGGTACCCATCAATATGCCCGTTTTCCAGACAAAAGCTCAAGGAGGTTAATATTCTTACTCAGGGTGTCATGACTCCTAAGGAGTGAAGCCAGGATTCAGGTCCAGGTTTGTCTGACTCCAAAGCCTGGGGGACCCCACAGTGAATCAATCACGTGGCCCCTGGAATATTTGAGCCAAGGGGCCAACGGGCTCAGGCCTGTACCCTCCCCCTTCCCAAGAGATGTGCTTCTTCTGAGAGGTGCTGCCCCGGCAGAGCTGCCTCCAGCATCCCCTGAATGAGTGGTCCAGGCATCCCTGGGCTCTCCCCCACACCCTGCCCCCACCCCTTCTGGGTATTTCACTGGAGCCCCCTCCCTGCCAGATGGAAGAGAGCAGGCCAAGGAGCTGAGGGATGCTCAGACATCCCCTTGCAGATCTTAGAGGTATCTCTCTCACCTGAATGGCCATCGTTGATCAGGATAAACTGCTCGTTGGCAGAAACATTGTAGCCTTGGAACCCCAGGGGCACAAGGCTGGCGTCGTACTGGAGAATGTCACTGTGCAGGTCTATTGGGGACTGCAGCACACCCCCACATGACGGGTACTTCTTGGGCCAGCTCTTCTCCCCATCGGGACCTGGAAGGGGAGATTCAAGCCCAAAGTTTAGTCAGTTTTCCACAAACGTTCTTTCCTCACTTTCTAATCCTGTGTTCAACACAATCACTCCTTTTCTCCTCTTCGTCCCCACAGGGATATTCTTCAAGACCCAGAGATCTCAGCCTACTGCTCACTTGCTCTTAAAGTGATGTGGGGAAAGAAGGACTCTTAGAGCAGCCCCATGCCAAGGACTAAGGCCCACCAAGCTCCGTTTGAATTTTACATTGTTCGTATTTTGACACAGTACACATCCTCTCCACGTGAAGACCTATTGATTTTCAGCAATTTTGCATCTGTTTATGGAGCACCTGTTATGAGCAGGAATTACTCAGGGTCTCAGGTCCGCCGGGTTGAACACAACAACAGGGCCCCTGCTTGCCCAAACTTGCATCCTTTGGGATACTTCAGGCTGGAAAAATTGGTGTAGGACTGACCACAGCTCCAGATAGGTCTTTGGGGCTGGTGGAGGTATGACCTTCCTAATAGGAAACCCTTGAGGACATTGACTCTTGATACCCACATCTAGAGCAAATATAAAACCCAATCTGATAGGGATGCTTGAAAAATATCGAGTAATTATATGCCTGGAATCACAGAGCTCAGTGCAAAGTTTATACTGGGAGAGTGTGACAATACTACAAACTAATGCCAAACTACCAGTGAGCAGGAAGAGACTTAAAAAACAAATCCTCCAGGGCTCAGGCTTCTTGCTAACTACCAGGTAATTGTCCTTCCTCTGGAAATGGCAATAAACCCTCCAATCCCACGTTCAGATAAACTTTCTTACTCCCACAGGGAAAAAAAAATCTTTAAAGAATGTAAAGCTGTGTTTAAAAGATTATCTCCCGTGGTAATTAAATGGATTTTCAGGTGGAGGTTTCCCCAGAAAAGCAAGTAATTGGCATGTCATGGCTCGTTAGGGTGGAACCATGGTGCTCTGTGGGTTCTCTGTGAGTCAGGACCCAAGCTTTGCCATCTGGGGTCCATTCATCAGTATTTCAGCACCAGGAATGAAACTGGAGCAGAGGGCAAAGGAACACCACTTCTTCCGGGAACCCGTCCATAGACAGCAGCACTATTTCACAAGAGTGGACGTGTGTACTCTGGCCTCACAGAATCTCGGCTCCCTACCCCTTGTTCTCTAACTAGGAGACTCATCTGAGAGTAAGGAGAGTCGGAAGAAAAACTTGCTATGAGGAGTTGATCCAAGGTCTGGACATACACAGTAGAACCCTACTAATTTTTCAGGCTGTCAACCTTTGGATATGCCTTCTTGGAAATGTTAGAGCTTGAAGGGATTTCAAAATGTCCTGTCCAACCTTTCACTGGACACCAGTTTTCTCACTTGCCATGTCAGAGTCTCACTGAGCTATATTTTAATTTTCAAGACCTCAGAGCCCTGGACTCAAAGCAACTCAACCACACCAAGATGGCAGAGGGAGAGGGTAGCAAGAGGACACCAAGGTAAGACCATTACTCAGCTGAGGACAAAACCAAATTCCTTAGGGACAGCAGGAAGCAGAGATGGAGCAGTCATGAGGTATCATGCAAACCCTCAGGTCAGGAAGAGGCACAGCTATGGGGTGGCAAGCCTTCTAGAGTGAAGGCTGCCAGCCTTTTTGTTGCTCCCAATGACGTTTGGACCCACGGCCAGGGTGGCAGAAGCTGCCAGCCAGGCACAAAAGGAGAAACCCCGTAAGTGAAGAGGTACAGCAATGAGATGATGATTTCTCTTTGGACACATGACTAAAGGGAACTGGGTTAGGACTTTCTCTTCCCAAAACAGAGGTTCCAAAAGGTTTCATGAAGAGGGCATTCTAGTGCTAACTAAACTAAGAACTCTTTAGGGACAAGACCATCTCATTGTGATCACTGTGAACTCATGTTGTGATTAGGGTCACACACATAACAGGCATTTGGTAAACAGTTTCCCCAAGAATAAAAGACCCCAAAGAACAGAGAGCTTGGGAAAGGTCATCAGGAGGAATTTTTCTTTTTCATTGTGCCCCTAAATACTCTTTTTTGGAACTAAATACTCTTTATTGGAACTGACACTGGATTAGGTATTTGGGGGCAACGAAGTGTTGGCAAAACCTTCTTCAGAAAGAGAAGCAGCTATGTTGGATGAGAAGAGTCCAGAAAACAAGATCAGCGCCAGCCATCCCACCACCTCAGTGAGTGACCTTGAGCAAGTCACATTCCCTGCCTGAGTCTCCTTTACCCTTCATACAAATGAGAGGATTGAACACTGTGTTCTGGAAGTCCCGTTCTGGCTCTCAGCTCCGAGATGCATGGAGATTACTAGGACTAAGCTGGAGACCCTCTGTATCAGGCAAGTTTGAGCGGGTTGGAGAGAGCCGCTCATGCCAAGCAGCTAGCTCCTGGGCATGTGACAAGGTGCCTGGTGGGAAGCGGCTGTTGGACTGAGCGCAGGGCACTGCTGCTCCCGGGGCGGGCGAGCCCCTGGCTTCAGGAACCTGCCGCGGTGTTAGCTGCCATCCCCGCTCGTCTTTGAGCACCAGCCACAGCCCCTTAGGGGCAACAGGGTCTAAAAAGCTTTTTCTACTCCTGCTTTATTATTATTATTTGTAGTAGTTTTGATTCTTACAACTCTATAGGATCAGCAAGGCAAAAATTGTACCATTTTATAGATGAAGAATTGAGATTAAATGATTTGCCCTAATTAGACCTTGGCTTAGTTACAGAGTTATCTTGCCTGGGTCACAGAACCTCCATGCCCTCCTGTTTTAGTATTTATCCAGGAGATTTGGGGCATGCCTGTTTCCTCCCTCTCCCATGCTCTTCAGGAAGGCAAGGGCCATGTCACGTTCATCCCTGCCTCTCCCATAATGCCTGGCACAGAGCAGGCCCTTACCTGTTTGCGGAGCTGCATTCTGAAGCTAATTTTGTGCTTGTTCCTCTCCAGGGAAGCGTGCCCCTCTATTAATCCCCCTTGCTTCCCTACCACCCTGTATCATTTTTTTTCCCATCAAAAAAGAAAAGAAAAATTAGGTCACTTGCTCAGGTTCAAAATTTACCTTCCTAGCTTCCTAGTTTACCTGCATGAGGATGTGTTCTGTTTGGGAGCACTCAGTGAGAAAGAAATCTGGTTTGCTGCCCTGTGGCCCGGGAGATGGCCTGCGAGATGGCCTGCCAAGTACGGGGCTTCACAGCAGTTCGTAAGACTCCCCCACCAGCACGGGATGGCCAGTGTCCCCTTCCTGCATGGCTGGGGACCTTGGCAGAGCAGCCTCCCAAAATTGTGGCCTGTGAGTGCGAGGGGCATGTGGTGCCATGTGGGTGGGCACCAGGGAACATATTGAGGTGTTGTCAGTAGACCCCTTTCAGCCCTCCACCCCTGGCCTCCGCCTGGGGGATGTGTGACTTGTCGCTGAAGTAACACTGGCCTTTTGCAGGCAGCCACAGCCCAGACTGTGGCTTTTCAACTTGGTCTCAGCTTCCACACTCATGCCAAGCGCCCTGGTGCCAGGAAACCTCACTTGGGACTAACTCTTCCAAAAGAGGCATTTATTTCCAGCTACCATAAAAACTCCACTTTTCTCAGTTTTGACTTTGCCTTTCCAGTTCATTGGATTCCTCACATGATCCTGATAAAGGAGATCATGTGTATCTCCCAGTTTGTTTTTCCAAACAAAGTCAAAGCATTATTTCTTTCCAGCTCATGTTTTTCTGTTTTGAAATGTGACAGGAGATTAACATGGCCCAGCTCAAAATGCCTCTTGTGATTTCCGATTGGGAGTTATGAGGCCCAGGGTACAAGATCTGCATTACCCAAGGACCAGAATTTTTGTCATGGAAAATTTCAAACACATACAACAGCAGAGAGAAGAGCAAAATGAACCTCCATGTCCCCCAGCTTCGACAACTAACCATTGGCAAAAACAGATCAGCCTCATCTATATCACACCCACTCTCCCCTATCCCTGGATAATTCCGAAAGAAACCCAAATCGTTTTCATCTGTACATACTTCAGTATGTGCCACTAAAACATAAGGGCCACAGTGCCATTACCACACTTAAAAAGTTAACAATTAATTCCTTAAGGTTATCAAATCTCATCAGAATTCAGTTTTCTAATTATCTCATCACTTTGTAATGGTTTATTTGTAAGCTTCAGGATTCAAGTAAGGTCCATATATTGCAGTTAGTTGATGTATTACGGCCTAGATCTCAATTTGATGGTGGGATGCCTCATCAGACAACCACTGGCCCCACTTCTTCCAAGGCTCAGAATCTCAGAGCCAGGTTGGCTCTGTCCATCCTTTGCCCTCAGTCGGTCGTGGAGTCCCACGTTTCTGTTACCACCACCACCTCTCCCACCCCAGGACTGGCCCTCATCATGTCACACTGCACAGGCTTACTGCAGGGTCCCTGCCTCAGCCTTTCCTGTTCGCCGCCAGCCTCCTTTCTTGTGACCAAGTTTAACCAGACGTAGCACCTCCCTGTCTCCGAAGCGTGCCCGCCCCACCCAACAAAGCAGAGCAGAGCCGTAGCCATCTTTGATGGCCTGAAACACCTCAGCCTGTCAAGGCCTTCAGTGGCCCCCATGGTCAGGCTGGCATCCCGAGCCTCAGAACAAGTTATGAACTTGACCTTCACAAACGTTCTTATGCTAAAAATGTGCCTAAAACACCGCCCTCTTTCCCCTTCACCTTTCCAAATCTTGTCCCCGCTTCAAAGTCCAGCTCAAGTCCTGCCAAAGCTACTCCAGTACTTTCTCCCTGCCCCTGACCCCCGACATGCTGGGGGTTCGCACTGTGGTACAGTGATGGGAATGCTTGTTTAAGTCTTGTGCATGACTGCTGTTTCCGAACCAGCACCTCAACCTGCTCCAACCTGAAATCCTCAACTCTGTCTGCGGATTTCAAAGTCCTTTTGAAGACTACAGCTTTTTGTCACATCCCTCCCGCATGTCTGACAGAGCGGCCCTTACGAAACACTTAAGAAATTGATTTGGAGCGTTTCTTAAGCTCGTTTCAGAAATCTAGCCATAAAGGGGTGAGAGAAGAGTGTGTGTACACGTATGCACATGGTTATAGGAAGGTGAGGGTAACAAGAAGGGTTTTGTTCTTAATGGGGAGACTTAAGCATACTTCCATACAGAAGGGAAGGGGGGAGAGAGAAGGACGGTTGGATCCAGGAGAAAGAGGAGTCTATGGATGGAGTGTGGCCCTGAGAAGACAGTGGGTTGGGGAGGCTCCAGCCAGCTGAGGTAGAAATTAACCCCAGGCTGAAGGAGGCACTCGATAAATGTTCATCATATGGATCAAGAACACTGAAGCCTGCCTGGAAATGAAGCCCATGAAGTAAAAACCCAGTCAGAAATCCGAGAACTCAGCAAGCCTGCAAAGCTGATCAGAGAGGACTGGCTATGGGAAGACAAGCCATCTGGTTTTCCGCATTCCACAATGTATGCAACCAAAGTGCACCAATGAGCCTAAAAAAGTCAGTATGATTTTTTTAATGAACTTATATTTCACTACTTTCTTACTACATCTTGTGGGTTTTTTTTTAAAAAAGATTTTATTTATTTGAGAGAGATAGAGCACTAACAGTGGGGAGGGGCGGAGGGAGAGGGAGAAGCAGACTCCCTGCTGAGCAAGGAGCCCAATGTGGGGCTTGATCCCAGGACCCTGAGACCATGACCTGAGCTGAAGGCAGATGCTTAATGAACTAAACCACCCAGGCACCCCAATACATTTTGTGTCTTGTTTTAAAATTTAATTACAGAAAATTTCAAAGTAGGTACAGAAGTAAAGAGTATCGGGGCATCTGGGTGGCTCAGTCGGTTGAGCGTCTGACTCTTGATTTCGGCTCAGGTCATGATCTCAGGGTGGTAAGATCGAGCCCCATTGAGCCCACACCCAGCGTGGAGCCTACTTAAGATTCTCTTTCTCCCTCTCCCTCTGCCCCACCTCCCCTCTCTCTAAAAAAATAACAAAAATAAATTAAAAATTAAAAAAGTAAAGAGTATCGTATAGTGACCCCACGTACCCATCTATCTATCCACAATTAGTTTAGTTTTGTCTACCCTCCTCCACTGGATGACTTTGAAGAAAATCTATGGATGCTTATCTAAAGATAAGGGGTCTTTAAAAATAACCACAATACTATTTTCACATCTAAAAACTGTTGGCAGTAATTTCTTAATGTCATCAAATATCCAGTGAGTGTTCTGGTTTCCCCAGTAGTCTCATAAACTCACTGAATGGTTTATTGGAATCAGGGTCCAGATAAGGTACATGTATTGTGACTGGTTAATATGGCTCCTAGCTTTCTCTCTAAGTGCCCGATTTCAGAGTGTACAGAGTGTGTTTACTCTGTACATATATAGTTACAGACTTATTACTGCCTCAGGCAAATAACCATTTATGCAAGTAAATGCAGGATCATTTTATTATTTTGTAACCTGTTTGCAGACATGGTATGGGGTAGGTAAAAAACTTTATGGGTTGAGTAATTTCTTATACACCTGGTACATACATTGTAATAATAAAAGCACCGAGAGCTCCTTAGAAGACAAGAACTACAGAATAACTGCTAGTTTCTCACTGGTTACTCTTTCTCACTGACTGTACATCTTATGTGCTCAAGAATAATACACATTTTAATAAAAATATTGTTTGTAACTTGGACTATATCTGATGAATCTGGACACACACAGAAAAGCGCATTCGTGGTTACCCTGTTTTGAGGTTTGCCTTTTTGGTCCTTTCTAAGTCCGTCCCTCAGATCCACTGCTGCCCCTGACATCTCTTGGTGGCCGTATTCTCCCAGGTAGCCCCCTGCCCGTGTCTATGTGAGTGTCTGCAGACAGCTCTCTGGGCTCCAGGGCATGTCTCTTTGGAGCGGCTACCAAAACACAAGGTCAGATCAAAATCTGCCCCAGGAGATAAAACTCTCCTGGCAAGGTTGACATATTCTGGATGTTGACACACCTTTTTCTTCGATCAATAGTCAAAGTTTCAGTCCAATAAAAGCTTTTGCTCGGGGCGCCTGGGTGGCTCAGTCGTTAAGCGTCTGCCTTCGACTCAGGTCGTGATCCCAGGGTCCTGGGAATGAGCCCCACATCGGGCTCCCTGCTCGGCAGGAAGCCTGCTTCTCCCTCTCCCACTCCCCCTGCTTGTGTTCCCTCTCTCGCTGTGTCTCTCTCTGTCAAATAAATAAAATCTTTAAAAAAAAAAAAAAAAGCTTTTGCTCAGTCCTCCAAAGTTTGGTTTCTAAGGGGATCTGAGTATATAATAAAAATGGACCACGTCCTGGCATGTATATTTAAATGGAAGTGATCACAGATTGTGTACCAAATTTGAATACACATTTAATGAAATGCATATTCAAGTGTTGACTAAATACTCTTCCTTGGAATGCTGCTTAATTTGGAAGTTAATTCACTCATTTCTTCAACAAATGGGCCTACCATGTGTCAGACACTGTATTAGGCACCAAAGATGCGCTAGGGAACAAAACAGATCTGGTCTCTGTCCTCATGGAGCTTACATTCCAGTGGAAGAGACAGACAATAAATTGCAAAGAAGCAAACCAATAGATAAATTAAAAAAATTCCAGTCTGCAATCAGTGCTATGAAGGAAATAAGCGAGGAAGAGGATAGAGAACACGGAGGGATCACTGTGGACCAGGTGCTACTGGAAGGCTTCTCAGAGGAGGCGCCAGTAAAATTGAGATTTAAGGAATGGGACTGAGCCAACCATGAGCAAAACCAGAGGAATGGAATTCCAGAGACAGGGCACAGCAAGTTCAGAGGGCTTGCTGCAGCAGAGAGCTTATATATTTTATATGCATGTGATGAATCAACTCAGAAAGAACCTAGGATTCATCTGGCTTCCCCTTTCCCAAGCCGGGCATCATCCTACTACTAGGCTGAAAATCATGCGGCATCATCTGCTCATGTACACTCCTCTGTCTGTTAGAAAGGTCCCCCTTTCAGGGGGCTGGTACCTACCTTTCCCTGAGGGCCATCAGCCATGGGCCTGTGCCTAGAGCCACCCAAAACATGGCTAAGCCACAGGACCCCATTCAGTGGGGGAAGGCAGCCTTCGGGCCCCCTCTAAATCCATCTTGAATCCACACATCCTCAGGATGTTGGGATGTGGAAGCCACATTTAAAGTTTAATATATACTTCATAGCTCCTGCAGTTCCCTTCCGAAGTTGATTAAAAGACATACAGCTTCTCACAGAAGTCTGGGGGCGGGGCATTCAGCTGGCTGGGTTCTGGCCCCCCTGCAGGAGGCCACATTCTGCCAATTCTGCCTGTTTTCCTGCCGGTCAAGTGGAGAGGCATGGCCATAAAGACCAGGATCCTGCCCAGAAGGAAAGGAGGCTAGCCGGTTGTGGGTTAATGATTGATAGATGAGGTCTTATGACTTTATTATAAACAAGTGGAGGCCAGGGAATCAAACTGGCATTTTCCTTTGTTAACGTTACAAATGCGTCAGAGACAGGGCAGTGAGCGAGGGCTAGAGAGTCCGGGTTACTTGTTATTTACAAAGCTTAAAGCAGGATTGCCTTGGATTTTATGTTATAGGTTAATACAAAGGGGAAAGTCTTCTGAAGGTGACTTCATCTATACTTTCTGTCCACCTCTCCTCTTTGTTATTTCAATTCGTGTTTGGGCCAGCTTGAGAGGAGGGGCTGACACTGGGGCTTGGGCATCATTTCCGGTTTAGCCATGGGGTTGGGGGGCGGAGGAGAGGTGAGCTTTAAGACTGGCCAGCAGCTCAGCTCTCTGCTAGCCCTCAGCAGCCCTTCTCCTTCACTTGCCCTATCTACAGGCACACAAAGTCAGATCAAAACCTGCCCCAGGAGATAAAAACAGTAATGCTGGGGTTGTGAGTGAGAGGGGACTGTTTCCCCCTTCTCTGTGCTCCTGTAGAGCCCCTGGCATTTCTCTTTTCCTAGCAACACCTACACTTATCAAAATAATATTCTATATCTTTCTACCCCAGTAGACCAGCAGTTCCCAAAGTGTAGTCCCTAGGCAAGCATTATCATCATCATCACCACCACCAATCATGGTCACCTAAGAACTGGTTAGAAACGCAGATTCTTGGCCCCACCCCACGCCTCCTGAATCATACACTCCAGGGGGTGCCCAGTGGCTGTCACCAAGCCCACAGGTGATGCCGCTGTTCCTGGAGGCTAAGGACACTGCACTTGGCTTTCAGCTTGCCTCTCTCGCTCTTAGGTCCCCGCCTCCTACCCCAGAGCTTGGCAAACTCAAGTGGCCAACAAATGGTTCTTGAGCAACAACAGCGACAAACCAGTAAGTGAAACAAGTTGCTACAGCAGGAATAGCCTCAGTCCAGTAGCAAAACTTGGCAGGCCCCAGTCCCTGGTCAGAGCTCAGCCCACGCTCTTTCCCTTCGGTCTTCCTTGACTCATTCACAAACGAGTCGTGGTGTAAAAATGTGAAGTCCGCAGTCAAACCAGATGTCCTGCTCCACCCTCCTTAAAAAGAATATTAAAAATACTATTTCTCCATGCTCAAGCATCTCTGAATAGAAAAGGCTGCAGACATCATCTTTTGAATGTACTAGCAGATGGATAATTCTGGAAACAATAATGGTGTTTGTGGTAATTATTCAAAGTTGACTATTAGGAACATAATTTCCTTTTCTCAATCTGGTTTTATGGCTCATTTAAAAATTTTTTTTTATTGTGGCAAAATATACATAACATAAAGTTTACCATTTTAACAATTTTTTAGTGAATTTGTGCCATTAAGTACATTCACACCGCTGAGCAGCCGTCACCACTATCCATTTCCAGATCTGTTTCCGTCACCCCAAGCGTACATCGCTAGTGGGAATGCGAAATGGTGCAGCCGATACGGAAAACAGTGTGGGGGCTCCTTAAAAAGTTAGAATTACCATATGATCAGCAATTCTATTCCTAGGAATATACTCAAAAGAAGTGAAACCAGGGACTCAAACGGATACTTGGACACCAATGTTCATGGCAGCATTATCCCCAGTTGCCAAAGGGTGGAAATACCCCAAGTCTATTCATCAACACATGAACAGATAAACAAAATGTTATATAGACATGCAATGGAATACAATCTGTCCATAAAAAGACTCATCTCATTTTGATGTACAATTTCTTTTCCTAGAATCCCACCTCGTAGATGTTTAAGGGGAGCTGAGGTAGGTCTCTATATTTGCACACCTGTCACCTGTCACAGAATGAAAATTATGGCAGATGCTCAGTAAACCCTCACTGGTTGAGGAAAGCTATCTGTAATTTCTTCTCGAGTCTAACCTCAGAGCAGTTGTCAAACATGAGTGAGCATCAGAATCCCCTGGCGGGCTTGTTAAACACAGATTGCCGAGCCCCGCCCCACAGCTTCTGATTCAGCAGGTTTTGAGTGGAGCCTCAGAATCTGCATTTCTACCAAGTTCCCAGGTGTGCTGATTGATGCTGCCTGTCTGGGGACCACACTTTGAGAACCCTAGAGCCGTATTCCTTAACCCTGGACCTACTCTGGCATCTCTGAGGGCTCTTAAAAGTTTGCCCCTGGCCCCAGCCCCTGAGATCTGCTTAATTGGTCTTGGGTGGGGTCCACACACAGGAAGCTTCGAAAAGCTGCCCAGGTGGTTCTAATGTGCAGCCAAAGTCGAGAAGAGCTGATGAAAAGCCCTCCTCAGACCAAAGGCCTTGACGTCGGAGCCGGGGCTTTTACCCTCCCTCACCAGGGTAAGACTGCTTTTTTAATTTTTAATTAATGTTTTCTTGTGGTAAAATAGATATAAATTTATCATTAGTGACATTTGGTATGTTCACACTGGTGGGCAACCATCATCACTCTTCAGCTCCAGAACATTTTCACCACCCCACAGGGAAACCCCATCCTCAGTCCCCATTCCCCTCCTTCCCTCAACCCCCGGTCACCACTCATCTACTCTCTGTCTCTATGGATGTGCATGCTCTGTACACTTCATGTCAGCGAATCGATATGTGGCTTTTGTGTCCGGCATCTTTCACATAGTGCAATGTTTTCATGGTTCATCCATACTTCCTTTTTATGGCTGAATCATATCCCCTTGTACGGACATAGCACCATTCATTTATCCGTTCATATCATTGCTTTTTACTGCAGTTTAAATATTTGACTCTGGTTCAATTGCACCTCTGGTCTGTAAAATAGCTGTTGACTGGAATCAAGCAGCAGTGTTTCACCTGTGTGGGTTTTAGAAGAGGCTGTGACTGTGGGGTGCCTGGGTGGCTCAGTCAGTTAAGCGTCTGCCTTCAGCTCGGGTCGTGATCTCAGGGTCCTGGGATCGAGCCCCGCATCGGGCTCCCTGCTCGTCGGGGAGCCTGCTTCTCCCTCTCCCACTCCCCCTGCTTATGTTCCCTCTCTCGCTGTGTCTCTCTCTCTGTCAAATAAATAAAATATTAAAAAAACAAAAAACTCTGTGACTAAAGCCAGTGTGAAGGCAAGATGGAGAAGACTCAGCCTGGTTTCCTGGAAACATGGGTCGAGGGGTCAACGAGGCTATTATTTGTAACAAGCTCCCGATTGAAAAGGGGAAGCTTCACCCCGTAATGCTAACAGAGGCGTATTCCATACAATATGGTGTAGCAATGTTTCCTGGCACCGGAAGCAAGTTGGTGGGAGAGCAAATGACGGGGGCAGAGGCTGCCTCTGAGCCAGGCTCTTTCCCTGGCAACGGGAGGTCTGAAAACGTCTCAGGCGCTTTGAATCGTTGGTACAGCTGTCCCCTCTAGCTGACAGAGGCTGCTCATCTCCCCCCCACACACACACCCCCACCACTCATCTTTGTTAAAAGTGTGAGGCTGGGGGTGACTAACTGTGACTGCCTTCGGGGTTAGACAGTAGGTCAGGGATAGTACTGGATATCCAAGCTGAAAGTGACCCCCGCAAGGTATTGAGTTGTGGACTTTTGATGTCTGTTAGCAGAACCAGTACCTACCCTTTTCACTTTCACTGTAATCTCTCACCTCTGTTTTGCAGCCAAGCATCTTCCAAGAATTGTCTAAGCTGCTGGCTTGTGCATCTTCACTTCCCATTCAGACTCACTGCTCTGTGACTCTGACTTGAGACCCACATCCCACTGAATTCAAATAGACTCTTCAGTCCTGGTTTTTCTTGCAGCCCTTGGCCCCAGTGTCCCCCACCACCCCGTTTCTGAAATCTTTCCTCTTGCACTATCTGTCGCTCCCTGCCCCTTAATGTCAGCTGTCCCATGGTTTTGTCCTTGGCTCTTTCTTTTTTCTCGCACAGGCCCCTGGGCTGAGCCTCTCCCCTCCTATGGTTTCAACACCACCTCTGCCCTGCCCAGTTTCCTCCTGAGCTCCAGGCCAGCTGCCTACTGGACGCCCCTACTGGATGCCTATGGCTTCCTGAAACCAGACATGGCTGGAGAGAGTGGCAGACAAACAATTAAAAAAGAATAACCAAACTTGCCATCTTTTCCTCTCTGAACATCCTCCTTCCAAAACTTCTCTCACTTCCTTCAAGGTTCTCTGTCTCAACTGATGGTACCACTCACTGCACCAAAACCTAGAATCACAATTTACTTCTTCCCATCCTCTCCTTTGGTCCCATTGCTAGGCACAGGGAAATAATGATTTTACTTTTATGTGTCTTTTTAAAAAGCTTTTTATTCTGAAAAATTTTAAATGTACAGAAAATTTAGAAGAATAGCACAATCCATTCCCATATACTCTTCACCTAAAATCACTAGCTGTTAACATTTGCCACACCTGCTTTATTACTCTCTCTCTCTATATATATATATACACACATTATTGTTATTACAGTTCTTCTTCAGCCTGTGATGGGATTATGTCCCAATAAACCCATTGTAAATTGAAAATATCCTGTAATTTGAAAATGCACCTAACCTACCGAACATCACAGCTTAGCCTAGCCTACTTTAAGCATGCTGATACTAGCCTACAATTGGGCGAAATCATCTAACACAAAGCCTGTTGAATATCTCATGTAAACTGTTGAGTACTGCACTGTAAGTGAAAAACAGAGTGGTTGTCTGGGTACAGAATGGTTGTAAGTGTATCAGCTGTTTATCCTCGTGATGGGGTGGCTGCCTGGGAGCTGGGGCCGCTGCCCCCACCCAGTGTCACCACAGAGGATCACACTGGGTATCGCTAGCCAAGGAAAAGACCCAAACTCACAATTCCAAGTAGAGTTTCTACTGAATGTGTATCACTTTCACACCATTCTAAAACTGAAAAATGGTAGGTTGAACACTCGTAAGTCGGGGCTATCTTTTGAGAGAAAGTTTCAGACATCGAGCCCTCTTGTACTTAAATACTTAGATGTCTGTCTCCTGAGAACAAGGACATTTCCTTCCATAATCACAATACAACTATCCAAGTCAGGAAGTTTAACAATTAATACAATACTGTTATCTAGTATAAAATCGATACTCACATTTTGTACACCCAGGCTCAAAGGATCTTCCCACAGATTATGTATGATTTATAAAAGGGGAAAATGGCAACATTAAAATGGAGAAAGCTATCAGGCATTATCTTAACCAAGTGATCAAAATGCTCACCAACGATGACATCGAGTGCCTCTTGATGAAATGCACAGTCAGGGACACATTACTTCTGCAGGATTCAAGCCAAAACC